CTTGAGATGAAAATTTATTGGTATCTCTCTCTCTTATTATCATGAATCACTTGCAGTCAACGGTGTAGAACGACTGTTTAATGCAAAATTAGAAATTGAATATGGCATCAAGTGTCATGTGTCCAGAGCAAGTTATCCTGACGAGATTTTACAATTCTCATTCAAATGAAGATTATCTCTTATTGTGAACTCATAACGCCCTAGTCGGCTTGTGAAGAAGTTTTGAGCCAGGCAAAAATTTGTTTACCAAGTATACAGAAAAATGAATGAGCGGCTGTAACCGTTTGATTTAATCAACGGACATTTGTGATATTATTTACCTCAACTACAGAAATTACTTGAATAAAATTATCAAATAAAATGTTCATCTGTTGTTGATTCGTGTTATTGCAAGAGTCTGAGCTCTTCTCCGTTAAAAGAATTTTCTCTTTCTCCGATAAAACTGTTTACCTCAAATCATTTGATAATAGGTTTACAATGATTGACACGTCGGCAGTAAACGAAAGCCTGAAAAATGCGTCCGAATTCGCAAAACGTTTTCCTTCCAAGGCAGAAGGCATTGCATTGTGCTGCGCCTTCGTGTTATCTTCTGTCCTGATCATTGCAGGAAACTTGCTCACTCTTGTTATCTTTGCAGTTACCAAACAACTTCGCAGGAAAAAATTATTTCTAGTTATGAACATGGCGTTAGCTGATCTAATGTTAGGAGCCTACTCTGTACCCTCTTACGTTTACTATGTTGGAGGAAAATATCAGCTTTGGACAGCAAGACACGGCTTTTATCTGGTCTTCAGATGCATCGATGCCACTCTTGCGTTCGGCTCAATTCTATCTGCAGCTTTCATATCCTGTGAGAGATTTTATGCCGTATATTGGCCGTTTAACCATCGATCACTGTCCACCAGAACATACCACATCGCCATTTTCATACTTTGGACACTCGCTGTCTTGCTGTCTTCAATGCTTACTCTGTTATCGGCTTTTAGTGCATTGGAACCTGGTTTGTATGTTTTTATGTCCGTCCTGTTGTGTCTAACAATAATCATATGTGTCTGCAACATCGGGATCTGGAGAAATCTTCAGCGCGAAAGAGTTACCTCACACCGTCGAAACAGAGCTCTGCGAAGGAAACGCTTAACAAACACTTTACTTTTTGTATCCATGCTGGCTTTACTTTGTTGGCTTCCATTAGTTATCATGAGCATTTCAATCTACTATACAAAGACAACAACACCTTGGACGTTTTATTACATAGTGAACATTTTAAATTATTCAAATTCTTTGGTCAATCCAGTTGTGTATGCATTGAGAATTCCTGAGTTTCAGCAAGCGTTGCGTTCGTTCTGTAGAAGAGGAGAGCAACCATACAGATGGAACAAATCGAGAAAACAGACCGAACGGCTGCACCTACAAAGTCGGAGATAGAGCTACCAATCCTTTCAATTCAATCCCGCTCGTCTGCAATAAGAGTTTGTACAAGAAGACATGGAAACCCATTTTTGATTAGACAATTTGGTTTTATAAACTGAACAGTGATAATGTAAATTGAGCACCGTGAAGAGTTACGTTTGGATCTCATCCAGGGATTTGAACATTCAGTTCCATCTACCCTATGTAAGTGTTGCAACCTGCAGTTTTACACAATAATAAAACTCTTTCTAGCCCGTTCAGAACTATTGAGTTTCGGTAGGTGCCACGTTTGTGTTATACACCAAGAAGAGATCAGCCGCGTAGAGGGGACAAATCGAAAGCGGAAGAAACCTATCCGGCTGCACTTAAAACGCCAGAGCTAATATTATAACAACCGACCCCACTCGCCTCCATATACAGGTTGAACAAGCAGATATAAAAATTGAGGTTTGATTAGCTGAGGCAAGAGGAGCATCGGCGTTTATACTGAGTAGTGAAGTAAAATTTTTCAAAAACTGAAAAGTTTAGAATGTTGAAGCTTAATTGACATGATGGCTACAAAACTCTTCTTCCATTCAATTACTTTATTTTAATTCTGAGAAGGGCCATAAATATTGAGTATTGTTAGAAAACAGGACAATTTTCGATCTGTTTGGTATGGTTTTGTTGAAGTTGAAACTTTTTGTTTAGAGATACTTTCCCCCAGTGGTACACAAATTAAGTCAGAACGTTATGCAAGGATGAAAATATGCTATTTTATTCATCCGCCATTGTATAGTATCTTGTCATGTCACAACGAATTAAAGTCTTCATCATTATAATAATTGTAGCCCTAAAGCTATTGGTCAGACCTTCCCAGTCGCTTTCTTAAGGACACTATGCTCTGTCCACTTAGGACTTTATTTGAAAAAAGTGAAACAAAATGAAGAAAAGTGTTCAGCTATTGCCGCCTGGGAAGAAAAAGTCACGGTAGTTTCCCATTAGCTTTTGTTTTTCTTTTGAATATAGTTTAAACATAGTTAGGCCCCTCTACTAACTATGGTTTAAACATGTAGTTTCTTCTCTATCGTAATGATACCGATCACGTTTTGATATCAAGGACAATTTTAAAACAAAACAAGTTTTCATCACGAATTTTTTCTTCTGAAATGAAAGTTAAATTTAGCTCTAAAATTGTTAGTAAGAAATAACTCCTCGTTTAAAGTAAAAACGACACTTTGTTAAACCCGGTGGCCATGTTGACATTTGTTATCGGCACGTGGAGTGAGATAGATGTCAGGTCTATGGACGACACAGTTAAAATTAGCACAATGAATCGTGTTGATAGAGAATCAAATATTCCAACTGAAGTGGAGAAAAGGAAAAATGATTTCTCTTTATTAAAACAGTTTATTAAAATTTCTGACTCTCAGCAAGTGCTACATTCGTGCTACACGAAGAGGAGAGCAGCCATTGAGGCGAAACAAATGGAAAAAAAGAAACCGAACGGCTGCTCATAGAACGCCGAAGATAGAGCTAAGAATACTACGCACCAATCCCACTCGCCTGGAAACAGAGTTTGAAGAGAAAAATTTTTAATCAGCTCACACAAGAAAACCACTGGTGTTGATACGCAGGAATTCTAATTGCATGCACATCTGGCTTTAAAAAGAGCCAGTACGAATAACTCAGAATGTTCGCCAAGATATGCTACTTGAAGGCTTTTTAATGAACAATCATCTTACAGCAATAAATTAAGCAAAGAGAAGGGAAGAGATCTGGTGCCTAAACATATGGGAATGAGAATTAAACAATGGCAAAAACGTGCTATGGTACTGAGGGAGGGGAAGAAAAATTGCAATCGTGAATAAAAGGAACGCGAGGGAACGAACAGGGAAATTTAAAAAGGGCACTCGTTCACTCTCTATTACTATTTATCATTCAGTCAAAAAACATTAGCCAGCAGAAGTTTTGATTTAAACAGGTGTGTGATGTAAGCACATTTGACTTTAATTCTGAAGTTTTATTTTAAACAAAACCATAACTGATTAATTCTCACTTCTGGATGCATAGGCTCCAGCGGTCTCTCCCCCTCTCTCAGCGTAATTCAACGATGTAGAATAACATATTTATACCTGGTCAATTTAAAATATGACAAAGTATCGCGTAGCAGGCGTTAAAGGCAAAATATCCTAGGAGTGTTACTACACTCTCGACTTCTCTTGTGACTCTCGCTTAGCTGGAAAAAATTCGGGCCAATCCCAAATCAAAATCAAAGTTTTCAGTCGATTTCATAGGGTGTGCTTGTTGGGCTCCACTATAGCAACGCGTTTTAGTCGAACACAGGCAAATTTTAACCAATTTTACCCAAATTTCCGACAGCAAATGCCTCGTCCATGTGAATGCATCCGCCATCAGTGCTAAATTTCACTCGCATACATTACAAATACAGCAAGATTTCATTGGCTAAACTAGACCTTAGCCCGAGAGGTTGCCATGGACGCCCGATTTATGCAAAGGCATAATTCGGTATTAACCAGAGAAGTAATAATTAACCCGATGTCTCTTGTATACCGCATGCGCGAACTAAATTTCCACCGCGAAACAGCCGTGTTGCGGGCTCATTCGGCTACGCCTCGTGAGTCCACAACATTTTGAACAAAGATCCTGGTCAGCTGCGTTTTCAGGATAAAAGATGGCTGAGAGGCCAGTTTCTTAAGTGTAACACTGCAAAGTAGAACATGAGAAAGAAGGGAATCATTTTATTCATTGGTAAAGCTGAATTCCCAACCGATTTAACACTCCAACAGTGGTTTTGCGTGGTAGGACGAAGAAACTGTAGTATTTAGCCACTTTCCAACCGGATAAAGGCACTTTCTTGGGCCTCTCTAGTTCACTGAACAAAGTCAAGGGAGAATGTTGCCCTAGGGTTCCTTTATTCATTTATTGATGTTTTGCCCTGGTCTAGCCGGGCAGATTCACAATTAAATAAACTAACCACTTAAACTACAAATATCATTCGTAAGTACATGTATGCATCAATGTATTTTTCTCTACCCGCTACAATGTAAAAATTTTCTTTTTGCAANCAGGGCTGGGTCGAAATTTTGTAAAAACCAAACTAGTAAAGAGTTGAATGTTAAGTTTTTGAAGGATGCTGCAGGAGATATTTCACACAAGCCCTCGCCAAATTTTGGGGAGCCAAAAAAAAAGCGGATTTTTTCGCCATAATTTGCAGTAATGTCGCAATAGAATCACAACGCTGCTCGCGTCAAATTTGTCACGCAACCTGTCACGCACTACAAGAACCGTTTTACTGCGGACTTACTCAGCTACACCTCGTGAGTCCGCAACATTGTCGTTAAGAGTACAAACCTCCCCAAACCACTGTCGGACGATTCAGAACGAAGCATATTCATCGCTCAAAATCAAACAGTTCATCAGTTGGAAACAAACGCCCACGGTCCGAAACTATTACCTTCAAGGGGAAGTATTTTACTTAAAGTTTACGTAATTGTAATCAAAGCAACGAACACGACACCTTTGCGCAGCGAACGTTATCTCAGTTATGCGTAGAAATTTCGCAAACAACAAAAACTTTTGCTCGAACAGACCTTGAAACTGTAATAGTTTATTCATTTATTCATGTTTTGCCCTGGTCTAGCCGGGCAGATTCACAATTAAATAAACTAACCACTTAAACTACAAATATCATTCGTAAGTACATGTATGCATCAATGTATTTTTCTCTACCCGCTACTATGTAAAAATTTTCTTTTTGCAATTTTTTCATTACTTCCCTATCATTTTTACAGTTCCCGCTAAGTGCTGGATGTGAACTTCACTTCACTTCCGCATTTGCGTTTGGTCACTTTGAAAAACTATTATACTGACCAGTGTATCATTTCTAACTGGTATGGGAGTGTAAACAGAAAAGACTCTAACCGAAAAATCCTTCCACCTGAAGAACATAAGAGGCCAAAATTTTCTACCATTAGTACCTGCAACCAGTTTAATTCTACTTTTTCCCCTTGTGTGCCCCGACATATAGGCGCTTAATACTATGGGCTCAGCACACTCGACTAAAGTATTAATATGTCCTGTACAGTCATTAGACCATAAAGTTCTTCGAGGCACTCAAGCAAAAGGTAAAAATGTTAATATCGCGCAATGTTAAGGCGACAAAGGGTGTATGAAGCTTCTCTATAACCAACACCGAGGATTCCTCATCAAATACCTCTTTAAAACTAGCTACAAGTTAAGATCTCTTTCGTATAACACATTGACTAATCTAATAATGCTAGTTAGAGGTTCTCGATGGGGTTAACCCGTTAGCCGTAAAATACGGCCGGCCAAAAAAAGTTAGCCTTAAGGCGTAAAAATTGACAGATTTTAACCGGTGGTCGTACAAAAAATTAACTGTAAAAAGTTTTTGGTGACAATAATGGAAAGATATTAATCGTAAGCCGTAAAAAAGGCCAAATCTTAACCGTTAGCCGTAAAAGTTAACACCCCATTGAGACCCTTTGGTAAGCGCACATGTTGAAACTTAAAGAATTGATTATAAAGTCTCACTTGGTAACCGTAGCTAACATACAAGGTATTTAACCTAGGGTTCCGTCGTATTGAACTGTATTAGAATGATACTGGCCAATACAGGGACATAAAATCCTTAGCATAGAACTACAATATCCTAGAATGGGAAACTGACGCTCAGAAAACACCTTTGAAACTAAAGACAAGGTTAAGGGCGTAAGCCGCCAAGATTGCAACTATGTCTGCCAAGGTTGGACCTATATTAGCCTGGTTGTTAGACCACCAGGGTCGGAGATACCATCTCCTAGTTTACGCCTATAACGCCAAACAACCACAAGAAGGACAAGGACCAGTAGACCAAGAGCAGCGACTACACCAATAAGGGCATACTCGGCTTCTGAAACAACAACAATAACAACAAAAATGAAAACAAAACAAAGCGATAGAAAATGGAATGATGATATTGTGGCAGAAAAAGTTTTGGGTTGTTTAATTTTGCACATTATGTTTTCCGTGAGCAAATCAGTTGTTGCAATTCGATATGACCCTCATTTCATCAACACTTTCCACCCTAACATCAACATGTATATTCTCCATACTGTTCTCTATACATTTTCTATGGTGCTGATAAAGAGAATTTGTTCAACAATCGAGAGCTCTTTAGTTGATGATCGTTTCCTTAATTCTCATGACTTTAATGTTTGATTTAAGGGGTGATATTGTAAAGAGCAACTAGATGCTAAACACTCTTGGGAGTAAAGGTTTAAGTGGGAGGAAAACATCACCAAAGAAGAAAATGGGTCATTTTGAAGTTTTAACATCTCTTGAGTTACCTTGACAGAGTGAATCAAACTACACTATAGATGCCTTCGAAAATGAATACCTCAATGAGTTCTAAAACAAAAAATAAGAGGCTTGTGAAGTGTGTTTTGGGACTATTTTTTTTTGGGAACTTTTCTCTGCAGATTGACGACTTTCAACAAAATCCTTCAAATCAAAACGCGCCAATGATATTGATACACGATGTATAAAGAGCCTTACTTTTATCATCTACTTCATCCCTCTGTTCAGGTGGACGTGGAGTTACTGGGGTTGTAGATGGACGTGAAGTCACTGACGTTGTAGGTTTTGTTGCAACCAAAGGCGCCGATGTTGGTTGTTGTTCTGTTAAAGTAGGGAGCAGTGAATTCCAGAATGCCATCTTCTCTGGAAGCATTTTTGCTTGTACGGAAGGTTCTGGACTCAAAGAGATATACTGTTCTTTCCCAAGAGTGTATGCTGGCCATTCGCTATCTGGCGCTGGTTTGCTGTTTAAAAGATTCTTAATTTTTACTCGTATAATTGTCACAACAAACCGTGCACATTCAAATGAGCACCCAACTCCTCTCTAAGCCTCCTCGTGGCCCACCCACTCCACCCTCCCAGACAAATACAGAAGTATCATAACATCCACTAAGGCTTAGTACAGTTTCATTGCAAAACGTGCCTGTATTAAAGGACCATTTTACAGTGCTTCTGTTGTGCTGTTCAGGGCCTCAGGGGTCACTCAAATGAGTTCAGCCAATCACATTATAAGAAAAAAAAATTGGCAGTTCTTTAAATAGCGCTTTATACTATTACTAAAAATAGACTTTGTTACGTGATAACCTATGAGACCCCCCGCACAGACTAAGACAAACATTGCGACCAGCTTAAGGAAATGTATGAGCGAGAGCTGTAAAATTAAAACGAAACGACGGAAAATTTCGTCAAAAAATGACTTGGCGTTCTAAAAGGAAGCGGCATGGTTGGTACCAAACACTGTTGTTGGGGTGNAAAAGGTCCAACAGCCGAATTTCCCGATCCACTGAAGGCAAATCTAAGACCAGCGCAAGTAAGTTGAGCACATGCTCCTAAGAGGAAAGCACCGAAAGAAAGAGAAAATTCAGCGTCAAAGAAACAGAAATTATTCAATGACAACTGCATGAACATTAACTACATAAACTACATGAACTGGCATTTAATAGAAACACAACCAGTATTGAGCGAAATATACAAAAATCCGCCGCTCGTATCTTACAAAAGAGGGCGATCGCTCAAAAACATACTTGTGAGGGCCAAACTTTGAATAGGCTATTCTAAACACGCGCTGGGGAGTCGTGTAGGCCTGTCAACCCCCTTTTTATATTGTTTACATCAGAATTTTCTTGAAAAACTTTGGTAGCAAACCATTTTCCATCATCGATTGCCGGATCAAGGGTGTGATAATTCCCTCATCTCACACAGTCTGTACATGATCTTCTCGTTTACCGCTTAATTTTAAGCCCCTACATTTTAACCACCGTTTTAGCTCGTCTACAGTGTATTCTTCCGGTTCTCTTTCAAATTTGGAGCCAGGAACGCCGTCCTCTTAGGTCAGAACTGTAAGGGAATGAAGCGAACTACTCGCCATTTCCCTTGTAGCTTTCGAAGAAGTGGAATTTGTTTGTCTGAGTCACGCGGGGGGGGGGGGGTCTAAAACTTCATGACGTCATTAGTATAAAGTGCTATTCATTTATGCCTATTATGTCACTTCCATTGCTTTGAGGGGTGGGGAAGGGTTTGCAGGATTTTGGTTCTGCCACAATAATATTTACCTAATCTTCCCATAAGGCTCTGTCAGGAGCCCATGGGCTTCTGGCTCTGTAGTATTCTAATAATCCCACCTCAGCGATAGTTATTCCTTTATAGTCCTCTATTTAAAGAGATGACTGATACCCACTCCATCCCCCTTGAAAACCAAGTGCCCCCCCCCCCTAAAAAAAATCCTCAAAACCTCTCCCCTCTCCCCAGGCAATAAATCATGGTCCTTAATACTGAAATCATCGCTGAATCACTGTCAAGTTTCAAAATGACATCATGGTAACATCACTTCGTCAACAAGTGCCGCCCAGACTCACCCTGTCTTGGCAAATGTACTCCAAAAGGTGATGACTTTCTTTGAGAAAATTATCTCTTCCGTTTGATTAGATTCACTGACATTCTTGTTGTACCTTACAAAGGGATGTCCAAACACGTAAATTAGGTCACTCCCATGAAAAACTCCTGCCCATGTTGGAAATCTAGACTTCACATGATCAAAGCAGTAAAAGAAAGTCTCGTTGAGTTTGTTCTTAACAAAGACCTGTGCTGAACGGACCGCAGGAGCCTTGAATAATGAATCGGTAATCAAGTCGAGGTATTTTTGACGGAACCTTGCCAGTGGGTTTGTTTGGTTGATCCAGTCTGTATACTGGAAAATCACTGACTCCACAACTTTTAGGGTTTGGTTGTAGACCCAGTGCCGACCACGCCTCACACAGCTATCAAATGTGGTTTGGTTGATACCTTTATCTATACCGGGTATTCCAGGTGTCACACCTAAAAATAAATATAAGAATAAAGAAATAAAAATAACTGAAAAGCTGAATTAAACACAAATTTTGATTGCTTTTTACTCATGGTCATTAGAGGAATTAGACGCATAATTGAAGTCACCATATACAACATTTTGCTTTTTATGATATAAAACAAATAGATTCCATATTGCATTGTAACAGATCACAGACGACATCAAAATGTGGGCTTATTAGCAGAAAGACATGTATATGATCAGAACTATATGTTCTTACCCTTTTCCGGAAGGACAAAAAACCCGCCTTCATTACGGGTAACTCCTATCATTGCTGGTACAGTTTGGTTGAACTTTCCACCAACAAGAAGGTTATAGGGAAAATCTGCAAAGTATAGAGGAGAGTGACATGTCTGTGGCAAATATCGCCACAAATAATACCATTGAAATAATGCTAATGACCATGTAGTGACAACAACAGTAATACACTGTAGGAAAATTCATTACTTGACGAGGGAATTCCGCATTAAATTGCACGCSAAAATCGATATCGCACAAATCGCGAAGCGATGAGTGCGATATCGGTTTTCAAGTGCAATTTAATGAGGAGTTCACGAGTGAAGTAACGGATTTTCCTTGAATCGCATAACTGAATAAAAATAAGTAAAAAAAGGACACAACATAACCTAAAATTGTTATGATTACGTGGATGCGAAACAATATCACTTAGCCTCGTTTTCAACTCACAATTCCACGCTAAATACCTCGCTTCGTTAACCAATCAGAATGCGAGATTTTTTTCAATGATGCGATTCTAAAAAATATTGATAATGATGATGACAAATTCTTCACTATTCTATTTTGAAAGACATGCATATGCTGTATTCATGACGAATGTTGTTCTTCTGGACAGATCTGGCCCTATATCTAAGATGGCAATCCCACAGAGCCCCTTACAAACTTTGCAAGAGAAAAGGTTCAAGTCAAAATGCAAGTGTGGCTTAATTTTGTGACTGTTTGAACTAACTTTTGTCTTGACCTGGAACTACATCTATCATCTAATTTCTTCCCACAATCACCACTGAGTCTCACATTGAGGTCACAAGAATAACTTAAACAATATGCATATTGATACTTATGATGCACGATCCTCGCAGTAGAGAGCGCTATTTATGCAATAGCGAAAATCAGACCTGAAAAAAATCAGGCCTGCATATTGATGTTGATGTTAAAATAGCCAATGCATTGTCAAGCAGGGTCAAAGTGAACTTACCATGTAGGAAGTGATTATCAACAACTGGCAACAGCAAAGGTTTATCTGATAAAAGATCTCCAGTAATATTCCTCTGAGCTTTCAGGATTTCTGATACATTTTTACTTTTTAAGCATTTCTTTAGTTCTGACATGTTGCATCCCACACGAGTTGCAAGAGCACTGTTGAGAAATACAGGTAAGATACAAGTATGCCATAATGTTCGTAAACTTAAGTAATAACATGATTTTAAGTGCAATTTGGTGTTAATATGCACAAGTACATTTTTAAAAGACTACAAAATTGGAAAAGCCCTTGGGGTGGTAGCATTTTATAGTCTGAAAAATTTATATAAGTGCTTATTTACACCTAATATTGCACTAGAAATCATGTTATTTAACATATTTATAATTTAAAGTAAGACAGACAAAATTTTGACAGGATGTGCAATTTGTAACTTAATTGCACTTGTGTTACAATTTTGCACTTTTGTTACATGATAAATGCACTCATTTTCCCCCAATCAGATATACAAGTAATCTTTTCATGTCTATTACCCAATCTATCTCCCACAAATCTTTAACTGAATGTGTAACTTCTCCTTGTTATGGCCAAAACACTCAAAGTTATCAAGTAGCGGCTAGGCGGGGAAGAAAATTACACCAAAAACATCTGATTTTCTGGTAACTCAATTGTTTGCACACACAAAACCACCAAATGCAGTTCACTAAAACGTGTAGCTCTAGATCTGTTAATCACTCACAGATAATTGCAAAAAAATAAGGTATCAATGCCTTTTAAAACTTTGAAATAGATTGCAAAGACTTGGATAGAAAAAAGAAAGGAGTGAGGCAACTAAGTCCAAAATGTCATTGTATGGGAGAGGTTTTAGAGCAACTGATCAAATCAAAATGGCTTCATCTGTAAATTTGTATTATTTAGTACAATTCAATATATGACCTCAATATATGACCAATATCTTATACAGTGACTGTAATCTAACATATCACTGGTACTGCAATGATAAAAAAAAAAAAAATATGGTTTCTAAATAAACCTCCTCTTTAGAGATGCATAAGCCATGGCAAAATCTCATAGTGCCTTCAATTCTGGGTACTACGATAATTATTACAAGTGAAAATAAATTTTTATTGTGTTTGCTTACCTGGCTAAATCTATGGCTGTTTTGTTGTCACTTGCCGCAAATGTGGCTGCTGCACTTCCACTTTGAATAATAACTTTGTGGTAGAGCCCATAGCTAAGGGGTGACAACATGTGTAGGGCCACACTTGCTGCTCCAGCAGAATGACCAAAAATTGTTACATCCTTTGAATTTCCTCCAAACCTGTTGAACAATTAGCAAAATTAAAATTTGTGCAAAGAAAATCTGCAGCAGAAAATAGAAACTTAAATAACAAATTGACAGTTGGAAGATGGTTCTATATCAATGTGCGACAAGGGAAAAGTTCGAAGTTACTGTGAGGATTTAAACTTCTGACCATCTGAAGTAGGTTACGATTTTTTTCTAGATTCATTGATCAACAAGTCACGTCAAACTCAAGCCTAATCATGTAAAGCTGATGTTCCATTGAATAATAATAATGATGATAAATTGATAAAGATGATGACAGTGATAAAGACAAAGATAATGACAATGATATTGATGGTGATACTGACAATGATACTGACACTGATGTTGACAATGGTGGTGACAATGATGGTGACAATGATGGTGACAATGATGGTGACAATGATGGTGACAATGATGGGGACAATGATAATGACAATAATAATGACAATTAATAGTAATAACAAATTGTTACTGACAATGATAATGATGACATTAGTACTAAGGATGAAAAAGGTTTAATCCTACGACATATGCCACTAATTAACATGGTTCCTCAGGTTTAATTTACATCACACTAAATTTTTAACCCTTTTTTTTCAAGCTTGAAAATTGAGGTTTATCTATAGTTAGAAAAGGGGGAAGGGGAGGGGTAGGAGAGAGGGGGGTAGGGAAGAAGAAGGGGTAGGGGAAGAGGAGGGACTGGGGGTGGGAATGCAATTAAGTAGCCTTTTATAAAATGCTCCTTCACTTGTTCACAGTTGAGTATTCCAGCCTCTCTTGACCACCTCCCACATATAGGGAGTGGGCATTTAATGCAATAATTCACCCAGCCCCACAGGAGTACCAACGTTCCTTGAAATTCAGAACCTGTACTTTAATAAGCAGTGTCCCTGAACAAAAAGGTTTCCACATTCTCTTAGATATCAAGGACTTCATATAAATTATGGTCAAAACTGGATAATTAATTGAAAGGCTCCTTGAATATGGATTCTTTTACAAAGAACTTTACGAAAAAAAACCTAGCATGACTTATAAACAACAATAGCTGTTGTGACCTGTGCAACTCTTAAAGTCCATATGACACCTATTTTTTAGCATTAAATCATAAAAATAGAAGTATATAGAGGGTGTCTGGTAAGATTTGTGGGTGATTCTGATGCATCTTTGTTATTTTACGAGGTGATAAAAGTCCGAAATTGTTTCGAACTTAGGCTCCCTGTATCTCTTTGGCCGTGTTAAAGAGTATTGAAACCTGTGATGTAATGGTAGTAACACCAAGTTTATCAAAGAACCAAAGTGAGTGTGGAAGCCACTGTAATTACAATATTTTTAGCCAAAAAATGCCCTTTAGATGTGTAATTTGGGGTTTTTCAAATACCCCTGAGGTCAATGAAGAATCTTTCTCTCCACAAGATTCCTACTGTGACGTCATGGTGCCCAGTCCCTATTTGCTTGGCCAGACATTTTATCTGCGGGTTATAGAGCTTGATAAAAAATTGAGAAAAGGGCAAAATACCACAAATGTTGCAAAAACATGTTTAAGAGTCAATATATTTCCATGCAGAATAGAAAAAAGAATAAGTGCATAGGCACTTTAAAGACCACCATTTATATACCTACTGTTTGATGTATAATTTAGACAATGTTATTCATATAAATTATATAATTATATATCCTTCATAATTTCTTATTTGTAAATAATTATATTTTATCTTTTCTATTCATTTACTTATCTATTTATTTCTTTTTGTGTCCCCAATGAGTTATAAAAACTAAATAATTTATATTGACACATCAATAAAGCTATTACATTACATTATCCCCTTGGTTATTAAACTGCAAAATTAATATAAAACACTTCCTCCCTGCTCTATTTTTTAATTAGCATGGATACTGTCAGAAGGTAGCTTAAGTTACGCTTTCCTGGATAGTTGTTACTGTAGATAATTCTTGTTTCTTATGTACGTTTGGCAAAAATAAAGACACGTGAAGATGATTGAAATATGCTAGTCTTTGTATAAAACTTATAGGGTCTCCTTTTCTCCTGAAGAGCTCTTGGCAAGAGTACCATAATTATAACGGATTACATTAATTATGCATTCAAATTGGTAGACTTTGTTTTAAAGTTTTGTCGTGAAAGACAAAGAAGTGCAATGCATAATTAATGTATGGGGTTTTATGATACTCTTTCCGAGCTATTTTATTTCAACTTTCTTTTAAATGACGACTGGCAACAGAACACCACTTCACGTGAAAGTCATAGGGATCAGTTGGATGGCGAGAGGCAAATTGCCTCCTATTACAGCATGGAGAGCAGAATTTTTGCTTATGAGTGCGTGGCATGGGTAGGAAGATCGAATTCAAAATAGATAAATCCATATTGGTAATTTAGCAACTCAGATTTACACCATGTATACTTTGAGATTTCTTTACCTTTCAATGTTTTGTTGTACCCACTGTAAGGCCTTCACTTGATCTAAAAGCCCAAAGTTACCGGGGATCTCCTTTGATCCCGTGGACAAAAACCCAAGTACACCGAGACGGTAATTAAAAGTAACGACTATCACTTTTCCTTCGGTAGCAAGGTATTGACCATTGTAGCTATGGTAGGCAGCACTTCCTACTGAAAATCGACCTCCATATATCCACACCATGACGGATAACTTACTACCATTCTCTGTCCCTTTGTCTTGTGGGACAAAGACATTTAAATTTAAACAGTCTTCCCCTGTGTCTTTCTCTGTCGAGTTTACGACCAAGGAAGGATTTTGAGGACATGCCTGCCCAAAAGAAGTTGTGTTCTTCGTATCTTTCCACGGGATCGGCGAATGGGGAGCCTCGAATTTTCCTGCTTTAGCAAACGGTATTCCAAGCTATTGAACAAGGGTCTTCTTCGTGATTAAGACGATGGCTTCACCGCGCACGGGGCCAGAAACTGTGTTTACAATCGGAGCAAGAGGCGCGTATCCGCTGAAGCTGGAAGCTACCGAAAGGATACTTACTGTTCCAAGCAAAATTAAGACAAAATTGGCCATGGCTTTTTCTGTTGAACTCAAAAGCCGGCTGCTGGCAAGAGAATCGATAGTTATTACGCGACCGTGTGATTCAGACGGGAGAATGGGCTAGAAGCCGGAAGTGGCTCTCAGACTGCAGGCCAGATGGACGAAGTGTGATACGCCGTAAATAAATTTCTTACATGAAAAGTTGCTCCCCCTGTTGCTCCCCCTGTTGCTCCCTCAACTTTGGTAGATTACTATGTCGGAGAAAACTTCCATAAATTATTTTTCATTTAATTCACGTCGCTCATAGTTGCCCACCAAAACCCAGTCCAGGGGATCTCGTGACAGCATAGAGATTCTAAGCCAAGTGCACTGCGTGGAATGCGGCCAAAGTCCGGAATTAAAGTATAATTTGTCTTTTCATCATAGTTAACGAAGTGGCTGGCAATCAATCGGTAAAATTTTCCCCTTTTCCTCTCTTTAGGTCCGAAACAAATTACTGCGCAACGGGGTTAGGGTTGGTAGTTTGTCACGCACACGGTGCAAGGAGTCGCGCTCGTGTCACGCAAGGACACGTTGGCGCAAGTAATTCACCATCCTCGGAGACCCAGGGCTGTGAGCCGATTTCAAGTTATGGGCAGAAGAGCCCCTGGGGACATTGTCTTACAAGACCAGTTCCAAACGGTCCCAGTCGTTCTGGCATCTGATTGGTGCCAGAAAATCTTTGTGTTTTTCTGCCCAATCAGAGTGAAGTGTGCTTTAGAGTCCCTTCTTTCCTTTCCCTTTGCAGCTCTCTTGCTCGCTATGTTTGTTTTGGCCGTGCGACGAAGCTTTGCCTGAGGTGAAAAGTTTCAGTCTCAGCACACAATATAAGAGAAAGCGATCAGATTGTCCGCGAAAATCTTACCAGTAATTATACTGAATACTTTCGCAGGTATCACAAGAGAACGTGTTTAAAAGTTTGCGAGGTTCGTATAAAAC